CAGTATGTAAACTAATTAAATCCGACTGACGATTGAGTCCGAATTCTGGAGTGAAGGCGTTTTCGACTAGTGCAGCCGAGCGCGCTCATGTACGTTCATTTCGAAATGTGGATGGAGATATTTTTTTGTATCCGTGTATGGGCTGCACCTGGAAAATTTGCCGTCCAATCGGGAAAAAAATAGTGCGGCCCTTACACGAGCTTATACGGTATGTATATTTGTATATCTGAGAAAAGGGGCATTTTGCGATATTTGGTCTCAATTTTAAGGAAGAAAAAGGGCACCCGAGATTTTATTTTATGTAAATAAACAGATAGCTGTCAAATCTGAGTAAACAGGCTTCAACAATATAATCTGAAGTAAGAAAAAAAAAAAATGTGGTTAGGTGGCGCAAGTCACCGTCCAACTGCCACTATGCATCCATTCCTCCATCCATCTAACCTGTTTTAGAGAGCCTAGCAAGCGAAACTGAAAACACGGAGGCGACTCCAGGCAGATCGGTCGTAAGTGCGCATGTGTTGTGTTGTCGTCTGGGAAGAAGGCGAGCAAATGGAAGAGCGACGACGCCTGCCCGATCTTGATTGACGCTTTCGTCTTTTCGTCACCTTCTCGCAGTTCGTAGTTCAAACGCAGCTATTGAACGGTTGGAAACGCTCTCAAATCTAGGCACACTATTTTTCTGTTCCGTTTTGCTCTGAATCAGAATTTGCGGCTTGCGTTTTCTCAAGAACGACGACGACAACTCGGCTGGTTTCATCGGCATGGTTAACGTGGTTTTCTTCTTGCGATTGTGCAGTCGCCGATTTCTGTGAGTGCGGCAAGTGTGTTCTACATCGGCGCTTCAATTTGAAACGAGGGGCTTTACTCGTGAAAAGAATTAGGTAGCGGCACAAACGGGATGTTTCGGTTGTGATTCAAGGGTAGATTGTGTCACGATCCTGAGTAAATCTGCGTGCTATGAAGTTTGTGGAGTTCGTTACTTTTTTTTTTTTCTTACCTGTGCGTTCGATTTTTGTGGAATGGTAGGACCAAAAGGTGTTTCTCGCATGCTCTGTCTAACGTCACGACACTTACATCGGTAGAAAAAACAGCTTTTTTGGCAGTTCCGTGCCGACCGTGCGTTTTAGGCCGAATATATTGAATATTCGAGTGACCAAATACTAGGAATTCGATTCACTAATCAAATTATTTGGGAACTTGCTATTCGATTCGAATTCGTATATTCGAGTATTCGCACACCCCTAGGGAACATACAAAAAATTAGCCTTCAATAAATGCTGATTTGCCAAGAATTGGGAATTTAATTTAAGAAAAAAAATTATGAATGCCGTATTTTGTATTAAAAATATGCACACCTTATGAATTTCCTTTATGATTAAATTCTAAAACATGAAACATGTGCACTATTTGCAACTGCTGCTTTTATGTTTTCCTGCGGTATTTTTCAGCTCCGCACCCAGTATGTATCGTTTCCTTCATATCTATGTGGGAAATTCTCGAGTTTCAACGTTTGAGCTAATGCTAAATTTCTTGATATTTCTCATGTGGCTCGATCCTTGATGTAATTTAAGGGGGGAGGAAGGCTGGTCTTTAAATGATAAAAAGTTGGGAAAAAGTCATTTTTGAAAAAATGGCTTTTCTGATATTTAGACGTACCCACCTAGCTCGGTACAAGGTATTATTGCTCTACCTGATTTTTAAATATATAAAAAAAAAAGAGGTTTTAATTTTTTATGAACATTCAGTAGGAATACACATATTGTAGAATACTGCGCATCCGCCCATTCCACATTAAAGGAGCAATGCAACAATTTTTGTACTTTGCGCAAATACGGCTTAAAACGGATCCCCAACGTTAATGACCTATGAAACACGCGTTCGTTTTTCACCCCACGCAATAGAAGTCCCAGAAAAAAAATTAAAGAAAAACGAGCAGCGTTCACTCCCTCAACTCGCAGCCAGAACAAGCGGCCACGTGATCTGGAGCCGATTATATGCCGCCAGTGTTGATCATAGCCACGCGCAGGGGTTGGCAAAGCGCAGGACACGCGCTGAGTTCCAGACATTGTTATGGCTCGGCTGTTGTCGTCGTTGCAGCGATTGGACACGGGTCACAACCCGAATGCTTCTCGAGCTAGCAATTGTCACGAGCCCAAGTCGAGTGCCCACGCAATACTCGGGTCCAATCTATGAACCGCATTCAAATATCGTCACTTGGGTGTACTGCGATCCCCGAGTTACGTCACCAAATTTTGCAAAGGAGAGATTGAATGAAAATGATCGCTTTTGTCCTTGAAATTACACCGCAACAAAGGAGTTTCTTGGCCAATGGAGTTGCGTGTGAGTATCCGTGAGTCCCAGGTGTGCCAGTAAGCTCGTGTAGAGAGAAAAACATTCCAATTGAATATCGTTGCACAGCTCCTTTAAGCGCCCATATCCAAATTTCTAAGATCTGAGAAATATGCACAGTACATTGATATGTAAAATTGATGACCGGACAAGTGCGCACCTCCCATTTTTTCGCGATTATCTCTAAATTTTGAGTGGGTGCTTGCCCCGTATTTTACGGTACTTCAGGTGCTTTTTTCTCTCTTCACACTTCTTTCACAAGTACCGATGTCTTACAGGCATTTGCCGAAGTTTGTCTTGGACAATATTAACATGTTTGGTGCCATTTTAATTGGGAAGAATGGAGCTGCGCGGTGATGCTATTTTTATAGTCTTCCAACTTCAGAGTTCTATCAAATTAATTACTTTCTTAAATAACGAGAATGCTTGTCTTTCACACCATAATTGCAAACGTTTTTTAGTAACGTAACCCTCTCAGGTGAGACCTAAAATAGCATCACTGCACAAATTACACCTTTGTGAATGCAGTTGCATTGAACATTTTGATATGTTACGAATATTGTTTTCTTAACCATCCGTAACAAATGATTTAATCAAATTAGACCGATTGCTTATAAACTCGGGTTTTAATAAAGATGCTCACTATCTGATTGCACATTTGGTATGGGTGCGAGGTGTGTTATATCAGTGAACAATGTGATAACTATTCTTTCATAAATAAGAGAATTACTCTAAAGCCCTGCATCCCCCCTTAAGAGTAATTATGATTTTTGGAGCTACAAGAGACTCCTGTAATATAAAATGTGATATTTTTTTTCCTTATTAGAAGGAGAATTTTATTTTTCATTCTGGTACATGAACCTGGCAGAAGCAAAGGTAAAAATAGCTCTATAACAGCCTCATAGAGCCCCTTGCTCCCTTGTAGTATCATATAGCAAATGTATTTTGCTTGTGTATATTCATGAACTTTCTTAGTACAGTATAGACCACTTACAACGTAACCGCTTATAGTGCAGGACCGGGTATAACGCGGTTTTTTTAAACCACCGGTTCACCTCCCATACAACTCCATGTAATTACATACCGCTTAAAATGCAGGCGCGCGAAGGGAAATACCGGTTATAATTTGGTTTCTGGCACAGCCCGCCGACCGCGCCGACGACCGGAGCAGCGAGCTCGCTTCCCTGTGCGACACTAGATAACGGCGCTGACGGCGCGAGCCACAAGCTGCACTCGCGGGGCAAGGAGGTTGCTCGAAAACGCGGGGAGAAGCGAAGAGAGAGGCTTCAGTTGCCACAGCGACGGAGGGACGCACGCACGAGTCGTTCACGTGCGTGCGTCCCTCCGCTGCGTTGGAAACAAAGAAACAAACAACCGCAACGACAGACCAATCGCAGGTCGAGGAGAAGTGTTCGCGCGCGTTGCATGCCGGTGTGCCGGCCGCGGGCCGGCTGTTTCTATTCCGCAAACAAGGCGTCGGTTGTGATCGTCGTCGTAGATGGCGTGCATCTCATCGTTCTGCGTAAAAGCGCTATCCTTGACTGTGAATTTTCGTTGTGTGTCGCTATGATAACCCAGCACGTACTAGAAGGGAAGATCCACCTACTCGTGCGGCGATGTCGTGGCGGCGCTCTCAAGACGGCAGAAACGCCCGTGTCGTCGTGTTTGTTTATTTCGACTACAGTGGTGATTTCTAAGCATTTGTGTCCTCGAACATCGCCCGGATTTCTTATTTGGCACATTTCATGCGTGTGCTCAAGTTCAAGGTATTACTGGCGCGTACCGTATGAAGGATGCGAATTTTCACGCGTTTTCATTTCCGGAGAAAAGTGATTAGTGTTAGCAATCCTGAACGCTCGCAACGTCCGTCCGCAACCCGCGATGCCGTTAAAAGGCTGCGCCAGGCAAAAGCCGCTCATTTTGTTTAAAATGTGTGACACACTTGAGACATAACTGTACTCGTCTATTGAAATAAAGACTTTCCTCAAACTAAGCTTATTTTTTCATCTAACATAAAATAAATTCTTTTACAAAGGTAAGTTGTCTCATGGCACGTATTTTGGCCTGAAAAGTTGATGTTTTGGTTATAGTGCGGTACCGCTTATAGTGCGGATTTTCGCGACTCCCGAGACATACGTTATATGCGGTCTACACTGTATATTGCAGAACTGTTTCAGACTGTTTTTTTACGCTCCTCATATAATACATTCCTAGGAATGGCCTTGAGGGCAATGAACTTAAATTTGAACTTGGTATAACATCATATCATATGCAACGACATAAAACTCGTCGGAGCACATCGCACAAAATAAACTTCTTTTTGCTAATTCATTCATTCATTTCTGTTCGACTCATTTCTCATATCTTTCATTGCGATTGAAACGAGGTTGATGTTATTGTTAGAGTTATTATTCTAAACAAGTTAGCAAAGTGTGTTCTTGTCCTGCGGCAATAATAAAATGTTCCTTTAATTTCTGGAAGGGAAAAAACAAACAAAAGCTCTGAGCATTTCAGTGTAGGGTGAATGGACACAAAACTTCTTGCAGAAAGTGAGCCCTGGAGTGCGCCCTGCGATTTTTCCTGCAAATGAGCTTTGGAAATGCAGAGTCATGCTTTCCTAACCGGCTGCCGTGCTTGCTTCCTCTGAACAGCTGTGGTCAACTTGCCCCGAGATGTCCTCCTGCTGAAGCTGGGATGCCTGGACCATGTGCCTGTTCTCACCCAGACGGTGGAGGTAAGAAGGGGTCTACCTCACCTCGGGATGGCTGTGGGGATTGAGAGCAACGAAAATTACGTATGAACTCTCCCCCCCTGATATATCGCTTATCCCGTGTTTCTGACTAAATATCCATAATATAAAAATTCCGAAACATCACCCAGCCTCCTAATTCTGTCGAACATTGCGCGTTGTTCGATGGGAATCTCATCAACTGCGCGTTCTGCGATACCGGTACGTATGACAAGCGAGTTCGTAGCTGGTTCCCGTGTCTTTGTCCGCACGCACAACATCTGTTCCTGTGACTCAAGTTCGTAGCGGGTTCCTGCGTGTTGATTCCACCATGGAACACGATTCTGCTGCATCTGCAATCTGTGGTATCAGCTCCCCGTCACGTGGTTTGTAGCGGGTGCCCCGGTGTTTCTCGTGCATTTTTTGGCAAGTTTTGCGTCTCACCTCCAAAGATAGCCCGCACCATGTTGATCACCATTTATCTCTTCATTTCGGCTGGGCATTCTTACAGAATTTTACGGTATACATACTCAGTTTTTTACTTAGTGCACGGCACTGTCCAAGCTGCTGACTGAAGTGCGTGCCTTCGTCTAAGCATCTCATCTCCACGAGAGCGCGTGCGAGTCTAACGCTAAATCGAGACAGTCTCGAGTTGGCAGCTTTGAGAGCGTCGTAAACCCAGTATGAAATTGTGCATAGTAGATGCTTAAGGATGTCAAAGTTGAGACTCCAAATTGACTGAATAGTTTCTATAATAACATTATAACTTCAACTATGGTATTTCAGCATGTATGCTCAACTAATTACTACTACTAGGATTCTTAGTATGCATTCCCGTGAGAAGAGCCTTCCTTCCGGCATGAGAAACGTTTTACACGGTCTTGGTGCATAAAATATAGAATAATCCCTGAAAAGATTAGAAAGGAAAACAAATGGCAAGCAGTACTCAACTTGCATAAATAACCTTCTTTTTTTTTTTTTTAAGTCTCGTAGAGTTTGTTTTACAGATGGATTTTACTGTACTCTAGAACTTTGGATTGCATTTTCCTCCAAATTTAGTGGGGAAGCCTGAATAGGCATATTGCCGCGCACGCTGCCTACTTGGCCAGCTGTGCGCGCGGCTGGCCATATTTGCACAATTGTAAGTCGATCCCCCCATTGCATGTCAGCAAAGCTACAAAGAAATCCCATTTACAACATATCTTACGGCGATCATTTATCATATGCTATAGTGACTGGCAAAAACAGCCGGGCATGTTTTTCAAACGCCCGGCCTCTAGAGCGTGCTCGATGCCTCTTAGCATGCTTTGACATGTGCGCGCGAGGCACACCAGATGCCGGAGCGTCATTGAAGCTGGGAAGCTCGCACACTCTAGGCGAGACAACCAAAGCTCCTCCCTGTTCTCTCTCCGTCTGCAACTATACCGACTGCGATTCGTCCGCACCGGTGCTCTCATTCTCATTGCCATCAATGCTACGTTCCCAGAGCGCGCCGTCGGCGTCGTCCAACGGAATCTCGCACTTTGCAAACGACCACATCTCACGCTCTTGCTTGGCGATCACGCCGCACATCGCGGGTAGGGACTGACCGCACATTTCCACGACAAATGTCACAAGCTTCACCTCTAACTCTGGAAAGCGTCCCAGTGTGTGCGGAGGAAGCGTCCTCGTTTGCCGTCCCATTTAAAAGATTGTGCGCCGTTTCAGATTCCGCAGGCTCACCACCCGCTTCGACAGGTTAGATCTTTTTTCAGCAGAGCAGCTTTTAGTTTCTTTCGGATGAAAAACTACCATTAATGACCACCGAAAACCTAAGCTGCTCGAACCACGTGTGTCGAAACAGAGAAACGTAGTTGACACTCCGGCACAGTCGCACGATTTCGACACTCGATAAAACAATATGCGAGGGGAGTGAGGCTGTTTCAGCGGCCGTCCCGGCATGGCTGTTGCATCAAGTGCCGTCACCCCCCGGACTCTGCACGCGGCTGCGCTGGTCATGCGGCGTGGTGCACCACATGCCGTTCACCCCTGCGTAGTATTTGTTATGATTTGCAAATTGCAATCATTGTGATACTTGGTCGCGCAAAAAAAAGAGCAGTCCCACGTGAATCCAAGGTACAGTCACAGCGATAAATGTGACACGTCGACGCAAAGTCGGCGGGCATCAATGTCGAGTGCTTGCACTGTAGGGTCTCGACTGCTTAGTTTCTTGACTTCGTTCTTACAAGCATGCACGTCGCTGTTCTACCTGTGACAAAGGGCGAGACCGGTCAGCGTCGCCGTCGGCGCGTCTTTTAACGTCTCGCAACAAGCGCGATGCCAGCAGGTGGCGACACCAAGACACACGCATTTGCCACTTTGCACCTTACCGTAAAATCCCGTAAGGATGCCCTCTCCCGAAAGATCGCCCATCCCGTTCTTCTGGCTAAATATCTGTAATATAAAAATTCCAAAACATCGTGCCCCTCCCCCCCCTCCCCCCCCCCCCCCCCCCCCCCCCGATTCCCGTTGGACGCCAAACAATGTCCGACGGGAATCGTGCATCAGCGGCGCAATCTGCGGTATCAGTATGTCTGAGAAGCGCGTTCATAGCGGGTACCCGCGTTTTTGTCTGCGATATGCGCGTGTATATTGCATCGCTAAATGCGATTCTGCTGCGTCCGCAATCTGCGGTATTTGTTTCCGTGTCGGGCGACTTTGTAGCGTATTCCCGCGTTTTTGTCCGCAATCTGCATGCGCGATATCGGTTTCCGTGATAGGCAAGATTGTAGCAGGTTCCCGCGTGTTTATTGCACCATGAAACTCGAATTTGCTGCTTCAGCGATCTGCGGTATCCATTCCCGTGAGATGCAAGTTCTCGGCGGGTTGCCACTACCGTAGAATATTGCGCATCCGCCCATTCCACATTAAGCGCCCATTACCAAATTTGTAAGATATGAGAAAATACGCGCAGTACATTTATATGCAAAATTGATAACCGGACAAGCGCGCATCCGCCATTTTCTCGTGATTATCTCTAAATTTTGAGTGGGCGCTTGCCCGGTATTTTACGGTAGTCCTTCGTGCCGTGAAACGCAAATCTGCTGCGTCGGCCACTTGCTGTATCCTTTGCCGTGACGCAGGAGTTCGTAGTGAATTCCCACGTGTTTATCGCATCGTGAAACGCGAATTTGTCGTGTCGTGATCTGCGGTAGCAGTTCCCGTGTCACGTGGTTTGTAGCAGGTGCCCCTGTGCTTATCATTAATTAAATCATTATCATTAATTCATTAATTCATAATTCATTAATTAAATCATTATCATTAATACAGTTTTGCTGTGATATTTCCAAAGATAGCCCACCCCTCGTTTTTCACCATTTATCTCTTCATTCTGGGTGGGCGTTCTTACGGGATTTTACGGTACTCCTCGAGGCGCATTTTCTGCCTGGGGCAGCTCGGGGACCCCCTAATGATGGCCTAATGCCTTCTAGGTGCTCTGGGATGGATGGATAAGACTTGCGCCACCTCGCCAGAGCTTTCAATTTCATTGATGACATTTGGAGTTAAATAAGAATACCATAATATCCCGAGTCATCGCCTACCCCCCTACCGCCTGAAATTCAATAAAAAAGTGGGGTGGGCCATGTCTCGGTGGGTGAGCACAAACACTTAAAAAAAAGCGGAAAAAACGGCCTATTTTTCTCTGCGTATCTAGCGCTGATGCACAAGAGATACATCAAACTCAAAACTCGATGTAGTTTCATTGTTTTATAGAAAAAAAATGCTCACGAAAGAATATTTTACTATAGCGAAGTCCGTTGCTTGCATACGCGCTAGAACCACCGCCGATCTGCATATAGCGCGAACGAAAGAATGTCACCACTATGTTCTCCTAGTTAGTAAAAAAAAAAGAAAGAAAAGTCTACAAGAAAATAGAAAAACCGACCAGGCGCAACGAGCGAGCGAGCGGACCAAAGAAGCGACCAAGAGCAATGCTGGGAAAGCGGGAAAGCCGGCGGTCGCGTTGGCAAATACTTTGGCGTCGGGCCAAGTCGGGCGCCTTGTCACTTGCAAGCTCTTGCGCAACTTTCTTGTTTGGTGCGTACATACGTGCGTCCGTGCACGGCGGGCTATCAATGCACGGTTGGGACGCTCTGCAAACGTCTGTGTAGGGCGTTCCAGCAAAGCTTTATTTACGCGTTGGCTTTGCCTAAAATATTGCACAACCGCTGTCGCGACGGGCGGGAAGAAGGAGCGGGTTCGCGGTGACCTTACTTCGGCGGAGACAGACTTTGACCTAACACTCCGCGGTTACATTAACAAACTCTTATTTTGTTATCTCCATCGTTTTCTTTTCACACGGATACACGACCACTTTGGGGTCGCTCACGGAGGTAAACAAAAAGAAGTGTCTTTCCCTCCTTTGTTTTACTTTGTCACGTACGTCCTCGAACTGTAAGGTCCGCGGCCGCATCATTCGGGTAGGATGAGTGTTCGCGGGTCACAGAGTCCGCGCTGGGGTTTTTGAAGGGGTGGGAGATGACTCGGTGTTTTTTCGGAAATCGATATTGGCCCATAAAATGGGGTGGGCGATGGCTCGGGGATGGGCGATGACTCGGGATATTACGGTAATTAAAACTGTTCTATCGTGACATTGCAGCAACTGTGGCAATCTAGCAGGCGCCACACAAGACCCATACGTGCGTCTGTACTTGTCAGGTGCCATTGAAGGCGATTGCCAAGGCTCCTGTCTAGCTCCGTGGTAATGTGCCCACTTCACGCTAGTGTTGCAGAATCTGCACCCCAATTTTGTTCTGATTCCATTCCGGGGAATTCGAGTTTCTAACAGTATCATTCCCTTCGACTCCTCGCAATGGAGACTCTAGCCCTATTTCCACTCGTGGAATGGCTGAACTCCACCGTTACACCCCTCTAATTCCTAAATGTGTAAAATTATGCGAGTAAATGGGGTACACGGCCATATTGTGTTACTGGAAAAAAAGCACCATTAGGCTGCTGACATAGTC